AGTTTAACTCCCACCCCGTTGCAGAAAGTTCCTTGAATCGATTGGTTATTGCAATAACTGCAATAATCTGGTGCCCCCAAACATCGCAGAATAAGCCCTTTCGGTAAATATTAGAAGGAACGCAACAACACTCTGCCTGTTTTTTACTATGGTCCCGAGAGGTGCACTTAGCGAGGTGTCACTGTATCTTCATTCTCTTTAATTGTATGGCATACTAAAATCAAAGTCTGTTTTGTATCACCAAAAAAATAATACATGTACATGTATCGGTTAATGGAATGGAATTAATATAAAAATTGACCTTCGTTTGGAACATACAATTTCGCAATTTAGAGCTTAAATATTAAATATAATATTAATTAGTATAAAAAATTGAATTTTGTAGTAAATATTTGACTGGTGCAAATTGCGTTTGAGTGGATTTATCGATTTTTGTTCGTATTTACAGGAATGCTTTTTTGCGATCTCATCTCCTCATCAGGTTCTTTTCATTTCTGCATTTCTAGTTAATACTCAGTTTCAAATCATATTCACATTTTGACTGGATAATGTAGATAAATTCACAAATTCTTCAACAGTTGGAACTTTTTCAATAAGTAATTTGTACCATCCAATAACATCCATTGGTATTTCAGGTCGTTCTCCTTTATAGATGTCTAATACAAGGTCTCTACGTATCGTGATATTGTCCACTGAATTGTTAAACTAGATGGAATTAAAACAAAAAACAAATAACAGCATGCTTACAAACTTTAATGTAGTTTGTTTTTATTCAACTCATTGTATCTGTGCAATGATGCTTTATAAGTAATAGATATCTCACAGAGACTAACACTCATGATATTTCTGATGATATCTTCGCGGATGATGTACTCCCTTGCGGTATTTTTCAATCAGTAGTCTATCACACGGAAATACATCATCCGTGAAGGTATCATCAGAATATCATGAGCGTTAGTCTCCGTTAGATAAATTCCCAAACATTCTTTTGTAAATATTCAACACTGGTAAATCTTTCAAAAGTGTCACATTCGAAAGATTTATTCAACTGTCAATATCTTATTTTCGCTATATTTGTTTGCATATTCATTAAATCCATAAAAGTTCCTACTTCTTGACAACAAGTACGTAATTCGAACATTCTTATTATTTTAACAACGAAAACATCTACCACAATCATGAGTATTAGATTTCATCTTTCTGGGTTCATTTTATAAAAATGTTTTTAGTGGTTGCGTTTTATTGAAATGGTATAAATATGATTTACATGTATATGTGCGTTATTGTTTTATCTACATGTAAAAGAAATTTCCCCTGTAATTTTCCCCCGCAAAAACTCTGTAATCCGTTACAAATTACAGGTGGTTACAGTTAATTACGCCGCCTAGTTTACTGGAAATTACATACATGGTACAGAGCATTATACGTGTACCAATTATAAAGATCGTGCAACCACAATTTGTAATTGGTGTATACGTATAATGCCTGCAAATACATGTATATGTAATCCCATTAAAGTAGGTGATACATGTATAATTAACTGTAATTTGTAATGGACTACAATGTTTGGAACGGGAAAAACCTGTAATTTTTACAGAAGGGTTTTCGGAAATACGCATAAACTAGTTTATCGCACTTTGATCGAGTGATCAGATCTGAATGATTTTAGTTTGTCTCAATAAGGCAAATCAAATGGTATATATTTATTTTATAAGGATCGATTTCGTTGCACTTCAATCATGACGTTATCAATATTTGAATTGCTACTAGTTTAAAAAGCACATTTAAAAATACTTGTTAGCAAGTTTTTCAAATAGAATGAACTTCTATAATTTTGAACTATTGGATCGAACAAGATTCTGTGCATTATTATTTGTCACTTAATTATAATAAAGAATGACTATTTAAAACATTTACGTTTCTACTTATTTATTTACCGGTTTATTGAAGTAAAGTCAATTGGGCAATATAAAGTTTGTATATTCCAATTTTCTATATACATGTATAGAAATTTAACCAATTCGAATTCAATTCTTAGTTTGTTGGAGGAGATTGAGTAAAAATTTAAATATTGCTATGACAAATAAATATTTTATTCATTTATCAATGAAAATGAATGAAATAAATGGCGTTTTGATCCATAATCCTTCCCGTGTCTAATATCAAAGTGTTAATTCTAACACGCAACTTGTTTTTCTAGTCTTGCCTCAATATACTCTATTTACAAATGAAATATAAATTATAGTCCGGTCCCATAGTAAAAAGCTTAGTAGGTATGCATCACATAAAAAATAATGCTCCATCTCGAAAAAGCACTAACCGAATAATTAAAAAACAAACAAATAAACCCTGAATTTTTTATTTTGCAATGTATCCTAATATCAGGTTTCTGACGACAATTTTGTATATCAATATGTGTTAATGTTGAATTAGAACGACATACGTATTTGTGCAACATTCAACAAATTACATCATTTTTAACAATGTCATTCGCACCGCACAGCATACATGCATACGAACTAAAGACATGCACCAATACATCAACAATTACTTTATAAATCGAATGAATCAGGATCTCGATGGAAATAGCCAAAGCGAGACCAACAAAAGAGATTTATCAATAAGAACTAATGACACTAGATGATAGACGATAATGGCAATAAGTAACCTATGTATATATATTATGAGACAGCCACCTTTTTATGTTTTCTCGTTGTTTTTCTATCTTAAAAAATTGGTTCCCACTCAAAGTTTCATCGTCTCTTTGTGTACATAACGAACTGCACTGTTTATTTGTTTCTGCCGCTGTTGTTGTTTTTTTGCACATCATACGTCGGAAAAAGGGTTACTTATGGTAATATATTATTGCATTATTTATGTAGTTATTAATAATTATGTACGTATTCGAAATTAACGTTAATAAATACATGTGAATACTTGCATCTCGAAATAGGACAAAAAACAGAATAAATCACCGTCACCGCCGTCACCACCACTTAACAATAGAGCATTTTTTCGTTTTCAACCTCCATTACAACCGAAACCACCGATAATGACTGAAGGAGAAAACGAAATGTTGAACAAATTACAAGGTTTGATATTTTGATATTGTTTGTGATTATAATGACATTCAAATTCTTTAAACTGCGTAAATATCTTCATGGAAGTTATTTAATTCTAGAAGATTGTATTTTACATATTTTACATCTTTGTCACTAAATTTTCTATATAACTCAACTGTTAAATGGTAATACGAATAGGATTTGAATATATACCGCAAGAAGAAATAGGGAAAAGCATATGTCGTCACTGCTTAAACGACTTGACACATGCTGGGTGGTGTGGAGGATGTGAGCAACGTGAATTTGTAAGAAATTGGCAGAAATGGGATAGCGGGAGTCCCGAAGTGAATTCAATAATTGAGGATACGCAATTCAAAACAAAAAATATGTTTACGTTTCTGGAATGGATTCCGCCCAAAAAAATATACCGTATTCCTGGCATTGTTGGTACTGGTGGAACTGGCATCGTGACGGCAGCTTTGTGGATGGATGGACCAAGGAAGTCGGTTCAGAGGGAATGTAATCCGCGGTCTGGACCTACGAATGTAGCGTTGAAAGCTTTTAAGAATCAAAAATATTTTATTAAAGAGGTAAAGTTTTGGATTTTGAAATCTTGAGATTCAGCATCGGAATGACATAAATCATTTTTTATTCGACTTTTAGCTTACTGCGATAAAACAATGGTTACTGCATTTTAATGAGTTTGCGTAAGTGCTATTGAGAATCTGAAACTTGCTTTGTTATATTATATTATATTTTTAATTATATTTTATATTTTTAAAGTGAAGAAGATTTTGAGCGAGCGTTGAAATATGTTATACGATGCTATGGAGTCACATTTAATCCAACGACTTCATCATATGAATTAGTATTTCAATTAGTAAAGGATGGGACATTGAGAGAATACTTGGACACAAAATGGACATTATTATCATGGCCAGAGAAACTTCGACTCACGAAAGATCTCGCACTAGCACTCCAACTATTTCACAAACGAAATTTAGTCCACGGCGACTTACATTCTGGTAACATTCTAATGAACAACAACGTACCGGTAATTATCGATCTGGCACAATGTCGCACGGCAGAATCCTCGAAATCCGAAAGGCCCCCGTTTGGTCTAGTCCCGTATGTAGCACCCGAAGTCTGGTGTCGAGCACCATATACAACAGCCGCGGACATTTACAGTTTCGCCGTGATAATGTTTGAACTTGCGACCGGGTGTCGTCCGTTTGGCGGGACAGCACACGGTGCAAATCTAAGACATGCAGTGATTCAAGGCAAGCGGCCGACTATCGCTTATGGGTCGGGAATCCCGAATCGATATGTTGATTTGATATATAATAATTGGGGTCATGATCCTGAGAAACGGCATACCGTCGACCAGATTTTGATTGACATTTGTAGATGGTATGGCGCGTTACTGAAGAAAAACGATTTCGAGATTATGGAGGATTTCTATAAGGCGGAGAGTCGTAGGGTTAAAATGCTTGCGGACAGTGAACAAACATTGTTGCATATTCTTGGTGGGCATCCGCAGGCCACTTATACTAGTAGATTGTTAGATGATACCACACTTCGTAGATAATCTACGGTCGTGTTTATATTATTCGTGTAAATAGATATTAATGAGTTTTCAATTTCTATTATTTCTCTTGTAAAATCTTATCGTTATGTTCATTTGACTAAAAATATAATTATACATTAATGCTATTTTTAATTTAATGACCAAAATGTCAAATATTTTGAAGAAAAAACCGTCCACATTCCGGTGATTGAGAGCAATATCGATAGCTTCATTTATCGATTAAACAATTGATCTATGGAATGTCATTTTCGCCATTTATCGTGCCATCCATCAGTATATTGTCACTTTATTTTTTGGTTCATTCCAAAATTCGCCATGAGAAAAAAGAATATATAAATGAGACGAGTAGATATTAATAGTAATAATACAAATCCAAACAAAATATTCATTTAAAACATTTCAAATAAACGCGAACATGACCAACGTTATCAAAGTCGCTTCTTGTATCTCAGTTTCTTTTGCATTATTGCTGTTAGTTGATGGTGCGAAAGGTAACAAACAAGTTATAAATGCCTCATCAAAAATTGGGTTTTCACTGATTATTATTGTAATCCATAGGTCAACTTGCTGGTTGTCAAGGAGTAATCAATGTACAAGATCAATCGGACATTTCTCAATTAGGCGGGTGTACTTCATTCACTGGAACAATCGCCATTACCGGAACCAACCTTCGAAGCCTTTCAATTCCTAAGATACAAACACTCCACGGAACCTTCACCGTACAAAACAATCTATCTCTCGTCAGTCTCTCGTTACCCGACTTGAAATCTGCCAGCAACTTGGTTTTCGCACAAAACAAAGCGCTATCAGCAATCGATGTGCCAGGATTGAAAACCGTCACCACGTTCAATGTTAATTCGGCACCGAGCTTACGGGTGTTGTCGTTTCCGGCTGGATTAAATTCCATCGAGAATTTTGAGCTGTCGGATACCGCGATTGGGTTGATGAAGGGAATCGATGCGTCACGTGTAGGTAGTTTGTTGTTATCGCGAAATGAGAATTTAAAGAGTTTGACGTTGCCGAATCTTTTGTCTGCCGAATCATTAGAAATGATCGGAAATGGTAGAGGAAATTTTCAATTCGAGGTAAATTCAGCAGTGTTTTTTTTCGAATTACTATAAAAATTCATCAATCAATTTCTTTATCAGGCAAATAATTTAAATTCATTAGGCCAAGGAAACTTCAAAAATCTCGCATCAACAGCTCTTCCCTCACTCAACAAAGTAACGTCAGGTCTATCATATACCGAAAATTCATTCACAACTCTTTCCTTACCGAAACTATCAGAAGTAGGTAGCACTCTTACGATATCTTCAAATCCTCAACTTAAATCCACATCGTTTCCTGAACTTTCGCATATCGGCGAAGATTTGATTATAGGAAATAATCAAAATTTGGTCACGATCGACGGCTTTGATAAACTCGATCAAATTGAAGGGAAGGCGCAATTATCGGGTGACTTCTCAACTACACTCTTTCCTTCTTTGGATACCGTTGGTCGTGGATTGAATGTCGAGTCTAGTTCTTCGAGCATTAGATGTAACGGATTTGATAAGTTACGTGTTGGAGGCGCGAAAGTAAATAATGTCGATTGTTCTTTGAGCGCCGGAAAAAAGGATCCGTCAAGTATGCAAGAAAATAAAACTAATTCGAACGACGACTCAAACAAAGCCAAATCCACAAATAATAGTACAATTTCGGATACGCAAGAGCCCGCTTCTGACAATAAACAAGATGTGCACAGTGAAGCCAAACAACAGCAACACGACGCTCACATCATGAATGGTGCAAATAAAAATTATCTGTTTGAACATGTGAAAATGATTTTTGGTGTTTTTGTCGCTTTGTGTAGTTTAGAATTAGCGTTAGTGCTATAAATTGTTTAATCTCATTCTTGTCAAATACCTGCGTGATTATAGATGGTGTCTATATAACGGAATTTATCTCTATCTAGTCATATATCGATATGAAAGAAGTTCGATTATTTAGAGATTTATATATAAAAAAGCTCAATTTTGAATTCAGTTATTTTATTTGAACAAAGAGTTAAATATCAATATCCTTACATATACTATCTCAGATTTAATAACCCTATCTTTAAGTTGCGCCTATAACAAAGTACAGCATTTATCATTATAGATGTATAACGATAATATTACTAATCGGGATGGTGTATAATCTATATATTTTGTTATTACAGTTTATAATTATATCAAATAAAAATTTCTTTATTATAGTCAGCAAATCTGACTTTAAGAAACTTATACAAAGAGCTAATCATATCAAGCACTTTATGTATTTGTTGTTATCGTTATTTCATTTTTACAATTACGTGGTGCATAACGATAACATTTAAACTCATCTTTAACTAAGAAGTACATGTAAATACAAAATTTAACCCGTGAAATTTACTGAATTTATCTATTACTATTGCACCATACAACTCTAGAATATGTGACCACTGAATATGGTACGTATACGTAGATATTGACGCAGTGTCTGTGTGTATCGGTATGCCCCAAAAAAAGCAAATGAAGGCAACGGTAATGATGTATTAATGTTAGCGTTAATTTTTGCTATTTATATCGAAGTTGATGGAAATTACGTAAACTCAAAAATTACTCATCCAAAGACAATACGTACGTAGTACTAATATTTTTTTTGATTATCACTCAAAATGAAAAGAGAACAAAAGTTTATTCTTGTTGAAATATTTTTCTTCATATTTAGGATGATATTTCACAAAATTCTTTAACAAGTTGTAATTTTTGCTTTATGAATTCCAAAAAGTTTTATTTTCTTGGCATAAATTTCTAAGAAAATCGATAAAGTCAGATCCATATTCAAATCTTTTAGATATTAGAAATATGCTTTTAAAGTAAATATAACATAAAAAATAGTAGTTGAATTTTGGAAAGGAAATCTTGCAAGAGCAATAGAATATCAAGAATTAGATGATATAATTTTATTGGATGAGAAAATGAATGATAAAGAGTTCAATGAAGATGATGATTTATAATAGAATTTTTATAGTACATGTATAATAAATCTGAATATCTATTAGTTTTTTTTTAAAAAAATAAAATTAGATATATATTTTTTTATTATTTTGCACTGGATCATACACAGAATTTAATTTAGTTTTTATAATAATAATCTTTATTACATAACCCAGAATTATATTTGAGCCAAAAACAATACTATTTATTATTATAAGTTTGAATTTGTCATTATAATATAGTTTAAGTTTATTATATAATTTACCGTATTCGTGACCTAAAGTACACCTTATTTCAAAGCTATTAGTTTAATAAACTTTTGAAGAAATTATATCATGAATCTTGTTTTATTCATGTTGCAAAAAAAATAATTGTTTGACTAAAAAATAGAACTAAAAATAATTTTCTATGAGAGTACTTTTATCCGAAAATTATATATATATCATATATGTAGAAGTACATATCTTCACTAAGGAAAAACGTCATTAATATTAAAGAAGTTCAGCAATAACTTAATCGAAGTTTATTTCAAAATAGAAACAAATCATCAAAGATAGAAATTGAAATATAAGCAATTATGATTTAAAATTCCATACTATATGGGCTTATTTAATAAATTTATACATGAGAACAAGATAAAAACAAATATCAAAGATAGAAATTAAAATATAAGAAATTATGATTTAAAATTCCATAATATATGTATGGGATTATTTAATAATTTATTCATGAGAGCAAGATAAAAGATTTAATTGTAGCTGAAAACTCAAAGTGTATCTAATTTATAATTGGTATGAACTTCTTTTTTTTACAAATGCTAACTCCTCCCGATTTTTTGGTTTAGGGTTAACCAGAGCTTATTAATTGAGCAGTTTTATTAAATACGCAGCAATAATAGCTGCGCCCGCAAAGCACATATTGATATTGATATTATCGTTATCAGAATACCCTAGCCATGGCAAAAAAATATTTTGATAATGTGAGTTTAATTAAGGGGGTAAACCGATTAAATTGCAAGATTAATGTGTAATAAAAAATTCGAAACAAATAAAAATAAATGTTTATTTTTGAATAGCTTGTATCTCGAAATTTTGCCTATAAAACTATTATTTGTATTTTAACACAAAAATGTTCCTTGGAAAATTTCATTATATTTGTATTTACAATATAATATAATCTTAACTCTAACTCTAATCCTGAAATATTATTAATATTTTTATATTTTGAAATTTGATTAGTTTACCCCTTAAAATTACATGATCCGAACATTTTTTTGTCATGGCTAGAGGACCACTTTTTATGAAATATTATTACAAATTGTTAATTAGCTGACAAACCTGAACCTAAATTGAAAGAAGTAATTAAACAAATAAATTAATTACTAAAAAAAAGAGATATCTTAAGTCCTATACCAATTTCTACAAAAATTATAATATTATAATACTATTATTTCTTTTTTATACTATTTTTAAAGTTTTTATTTTTTTAAAATTTTTATAAAGTTTCAGAAATTAAGAAAATTTGTGTTATTATTATAATAATATGCTTATTTGGAAAATAATAAAAGTAAAGTGATTTTATAACTTAAGTAATATCATATTAATTATACTAATTACCTTATAATATAAATTATATAATTATAAAGTTATTTTTTTGCACTTTTCATAAATTTTTATATTTTGTCTTTCTTATTATAAATTAAATTTCTTTATTACTTTTTAAATTTTGGATATTATAGATTATTCTAATATAATAATATTATAAATTAAATAGAAATATTATTAAAATATAATTTGAATAATTTTACTTATAATAATATATTTGAAAAATATAAACTATTTTCTATTTTTTTAATTTCTGTACCAATATAATTTGATATTGTAGTATTTCGAAAGATTATTATTCAAAAAAATTATATAACTTGAAGATGAATTTAATACTAGAACTATTATTTTTTTTAGAGAATATCTAAGCAAAAATTTATAATTATGTGATATTTTAAATTTGGATAATAACTCTAATACAAAAATATTTAATATTATTTAAGTTTGTAATATTATAGATTCAATAAAAATATTATTAAATAATTTTATTTGTAATAATATATTCATAGAGTATAGATTATATTTTTAATTGTGCAATAGCAAAATTATCTAAATTGAAATAATTTTAAAAATAACCAATTTCTATAAAAATTAATTAAAAATTCTGCTAAAATAATTAATAAATGAAGAATTCGAAGAACTTAAATTATAAAGTAAGAAGAATCTAATTTAGAACTAAATTTAATAAAAATAGCTATATACAAACAAAAAATTATAACTATAATAACTAAAATAAAAGTGAATTAAATATTTTTTCTTAAATAATTGATTTTAATTCTGCAAAAAATATTGTTACTAAATGATTTTTAATTGAATAAATATTAAATATAAGAATAGTAAATTGATGCATATATATTAAAATTTATAAAGAAATATAAATATTCAATTTATTATTTTGTTAAACAAGTTTTGATTTATTTTTTTTAAATATGAATTTTTTTATTTCTTTTTTATCACAAAATTTAATTTTTAAATAATATTAAAAATAAGTTTACAAAGTAAAAAATCAAATTCCAATTATCATTTTACTTATTATTATAACTAATGTTACCGTAGTAACATAAATTTCTCTAATTCGATAATCTTTCTTTGATTATGCGAAATTCCCTTTTTCTTAAT